TTATTATACTGTGATTTTCCACTCAGTTCTACTCAGAGAACACAATAGTGTTCCACTGATTTCATTAAGATCTATTTGAGGTAACTTTTATAAAAGCTTTTCTCAAACTGATGTATGCCAGATGCATTTGGATAGCATATTCCTTCATCCTTACCCAACCCAACCATGCTGGCTAACATTATTTTCCTAAAGGTCAAGTCATCTAAACAGCAACAGGAAGTGTACCTCCATGTTACAATATTTGTTTGCAAAAAGGACTCCTGTTTACCTGAAAACATAGTAATTGCAGCATTGTGCAAATCTGTTGACCATCTGAATAACTGTAATTGGACTGTTGCAACAAGCCTTCAGTTTGATTTTGACTTATGGCCATTCTGTCATAGGGTTTTCTTGGCAAGATTTATTCAGGGGTGGTTTGCCATTGCCTTTTTGAAAGGCTGAGATTCTGTGACTTACCCAAAGTCACCTGGGGAGGATGATTTTCATGACTGAACAGTAATTTCAACTCTTGTCTCCTGGGCTGCATCCATAGTGCAGAAATTATCCAGTCTGACATCACTTTAACTGCCGTGGTTCAGTACTTTGGAATTCTGGGAATCATAGTTTGTTGTGGCACCAGAGCTGCTCTGGTGCCACAACAAACTACTATTTCCATAATTCCACAACATTGAGCCATGGCAGTTAAAGTGGTGACAAACTGGATTATTTCTACAGTGTGGATGCAACACTCAAGTCCTAGGGTGTATCCTCATTGCATAAATAAAGCAGTTTGGCACCACTTTAACTGTCATGTGGAATCCTGGAATTTATAGATTTGTGAGGTATCAAAGATTTGTGAGGTATAGATTTGTGAGGTATCAAAGCTCAGACCAGGCTGAATACTTCACCAAACTACAAATCTCAGGATTCCACAGGACAGAGCCATGACAGTTAAAGTGGTGTCAACCCATTTTATTTCTGAAGTGTGAATATATCCCTAGTTCTGTATTCAAAGCACAGCACCATTATGGCTTTTTCTATGTGGTTCCCAACCTTTGGTCCTCTTTTTTGGATTTCAGCTCCCAGAGCCCCAACCAATTTGGCCAACAGTTAGGAATTATGAGAACTGAAGTCCAAATCATCTGGAGGACCAAAGGTTGGGAACCAGTATGCCAAGACAAAAGAGAACCCATTCTCTTAGTGGTGGGATTTCCTTTTAAATTCAGT